AATAGTAATATTCCCATTGTTGGAATTAAATGTATGTAGGAGACTGGGAAAATATAAACGTAAAACGTTGTCCTCCGAGAGAAAGCGCTGAAGATGGAGTGAGGCTAAATTTGAATAACGATCAATGAGAATATTCTTCATATTAATTAATCTAAAAGAACATTAATTTCGTATAATGAATTCCTTTTTAAAGAACGTATCGCGTTACGTTAATGATTTCCATTTTCTCATTAAACTACCTGCCCCATATAACGACCCACATTCCCTTCGTATTCCATACGAGCAACTTCTTCCTACGAACCACTTGCTTTCTGGAACTGACTCCCAAGAGGATGCTTTCCTGATCACTATAATCTTGGCCTGTTCAAGTCTAGGATTAACCGTTTTTACACATATCCCCGTAAATCGTGCTCCTTACTCTGTAACCTACTATTTTGAGTGGCTCTTGGAGCTTGTACAGAGAGAACATTTAAAAAAATATCTGTTTGTGTATGTATGTGTGTATGTGTGAGAGAGTGAGAGACAGGCAAAGAGAAACAGAGAGAGAGAGAAAGAGAGAGAACGAGCTTGTGTGTTACTGCGAGTGTTATTGAATTTTTCTCGGTTCCACTCACATCCAACAATCTTACAAAATGACCTAACATCAAATCCTGGAGGGCATTCTTTCTTGGTCGGGGAGGAGAATTTTTCCGCACCCTCTCCTATGAATAGTGTCTGTGCGTGTTACTCTGCTTCGCTATACATATATAGCATTTTAAGTACATTTCTCTGCGTATGTTCTTATGTATTCATGTGGTTTTTGCTTTTTTTTATTTGCCCAACCTCACAGTATTAATTAAATTTCCACCTCCTCGTCGATCAAGCCATTGATTATCCCTGAATGAATGGATTCTTCATAAAGCCAATCGTTCAATTGTTTCAGCGTGCATGTTGCAAGTATTTGTGAATCTAATTCGATCAGTCGCTAATAAATATATTACTAATCAGCTGGCGGCCATGTCTGAAAATAACAAAAAAAAAAAACACAAGAGCCAACTCGTTTAATTTACATTCTTCCTGTTCGTTCTTCCTTTACCGTTTGAAGGGTGCCTTTATTTATTCATCTATTTATTCATTTTCGCTTTTTACGAAATTAAGAAAAAAAAACTTCTGTGATAGTCACCTGATAATAAATTAAAAACAAATCTGCCGGTCCATGGTATCAACTGGAATATGTTAACTCGGGATTTGCACAGAATCTCCCCAAATAACTACTTGTTGAAGGCGCCATGGAACGTTCTCTTGCGTCAAATCTTCGAAACAATTATTCTATCTCATACTTCAAATTAAAAACGGAATAAACCTACGATATATTGCATATTACTTAGCTTTTTACATGGTAAACAATCGACATGCATATAAAATTGTGCTGGTAAAATAGAAGAGAATAAGTTAAGGCTAATGATTAGAAAATATTTCCTTCCTAAAAAAAAAAAATTAAAAGAAACAGTTGCACAGATAGTTTGAAATATATCTTCTTGCTGAACTATAAAATAATTGATAGAGTCAATCCCAAGTCACGCAAAAAATGGAAAAAGAAGAATCCGACGGTGATTTTTTATTCTTTGGTCCGTGAATTGACGAATCAGCAGTTAGTGAGAAGGTGGTTTCTCCTTTCAAAATTGATGTGAGAATTTTCGCCTCGATAGTTATACGTGGGTCTGCAACTGTCAGGATTGCGAAATTTCTTTCACTTTCTTCTCGCTATCCGTCACGGGAGTATAAAAATGACGAAATTAGCGCTAAAAAAAATCAGAAAGTAAAAACCAAAAAAAAAAAAAAACACATCAATTAAACATTTACAACAAAAAATAATGGTAACAGTAATATTAGCCGTATCCTTATAAAGAAATAATCATTTCATTGACTGAGCAGATTGAACTACTGGCGGTTGAAATTCATAAAAATTTTCTCTTAAAATATTTTTCAGTAAAATAGCTATCTCAGGGGCAGTAACTGTTATCATTGTTTCCGGTATTAATCGGGGTTTCCTTCCTAACTCATTATTTGAACTAGTGTAGAATGTCAGCATCTTGACTATGTCATTTTCTCTTCCTGTAACATGTGAGATCCATTTTAGTTGTTGCTGCTGTTGAAAGTCCTCAATTGATGTGATTTCTGTTATCCGGCACAGATCTTGGTTTAATCTTTTGTTAGACAATGCTTTGCGAATTTATAAGCACCGATGTGAAGAAATTGCCTAGGACACCAAAAACACGTTACCTCACCCCAAATACATTTCCCGATAGATAGCATCAATCTGGTTTTCTATGTAGTGGTCAGTGGTACTGACTATGAGGGCCTGCTATGTCGTCCGATCGGAGTGTACTTACTTGCTATAAGAATAATCTTGAACAAAAGATCATGGTTCGATACGAATTCTTTAGGACAAAACTTTCTAAAATAAGTGTTTAGGATAAAACTTTCTAAACCAGACGATGATCTCAAATAAAGTGTTTAAGACAAAACTTTCTAAAATAGACGATGATCTGGAATGAAGTGTTCAGGATAAAACTTTCTAAAACAGACTATAATCTGGAATGAAGTGTTTAGGATAAAACTTTCTAAAATGAACGATGATCTGGAATGAAGTGTTTAGGATAAAACTTTCTAAAATGAACGATGATCTGGAATGAAGTGTTTAGGATAAAACTTTCTAAAATGAACGATGGTCTGGAATGATGTGTTTAGGATAAAACTTTCTAAAATGAATGATGATCTGGAATGATGTGTTTAGGATAAAACTTTCTAAAATGAACGATGATCTGGAATGAAGTGTTTAGGATAAAACTTTCTAAAATGAACGATGATCTGGAAATGGGATGAGAATAATAATGACACCTGCTCTGAATCTATCATAAAAATTCAAAATGTTGAATTGATAAACTCAGAATATATCCCTCTGTGTCTGTATCAGTCATTGAAACATTAGTACAGGTAATAAGGGGTTGAACATAGGATAGGTTGCACTAGGGATACTTTTATCCAACACCGTAATTTTTTTTAACTTATTGTTCACCCAAGGCAATGTCCAAGAGCTACTCAAATACAAAATGAATTTGTTGTATGAGCGTAAGGGGAAGTGGTAAAAAGTGTATTTTATGAGGATATGTAGGATAGATAACGGCTAACCCTGGACTTGAAGGTGTTAAGATTGTAGTGTTAGGAGATGTATCGGCAGACTGTCCCACAAAGTAGATTCTTGAAAGAAAGTTTACGAATGGAACTCCCTTACTACTAATGGAATATGAAGGGAATGGGGGATGATTTGCCCCCCCCCCCGGTTTATATTGCATGGCGAGTCTTAGTTTGGAAGTTCAAGACTAAGGAAAATAGCTGGTCAGAACATGTCATGGAAATATCGATTGATTAGTAAGAATATTGTGTTGTTTTGTCTGTAGGAAAGCAGTTGTAGAGTGGGAGCATTTCATCGCCGACAAATCCGCGTAGACGTTTTTGAATCCTAACAAAATTGGAAAGTGAAGGCAGGGCAGCCCCAGCACAGATACGGAAGTGCTCCATGTTTAGTTTGATCTGGATCTTGTAAAGATATCACGACTGAGATGCTAGGATATGCTACGAAACTAAAAGATTAACTTGAAGATAACAGTCATGTTGCTAAATAGCCTAGTCAGATGAAGACTTTCATATGGATGCAACGCATCTTGTCCAATTTATTTAGAAATGCCACAACGGTCATCTGTATACAACCGTTTCCTTAGATCAATGGTTTAAAATGGTTTCAAAAGAATACTATCATTATTACAGAAAACGATCTCTCTCATCAGATCTTATATAGATTGGAGCTACAAAATCAAGAAGAGTTACCAAATAACAAAATCCTCTTCAATTAGACACAGCATCAATGGTAATGTTAATATTAGCCGTTTCCTTATAAGGAAACATTCGGCATTCATTGATCCATCAGCTTGTACTACTGTCTGTTGTCATTTATAAAATCTTTTTCTTGAAACATTTTTTTCAGGAAAATCTCGAGACCAGTACCTATTATCGTTCTTTCCAATATTAGGTTTCTTTTCTTTTATTTGAAGTATTCTTAGATCAATTATGACTGAGTAGTGAGATCCTCACTAGGTGCCCCACACTTTCGGCCTTGTGCCACATCTAAGCTATGCTTAGAAAATCATTCAACATCTAGATTATGCCATTATTTTCTCTTCATGTGACATGTAATATCAATCTTAGCTGTTGCTGCTGTTGAAAGCTCTCAAGTTAGGTTGTTTCTGTTATTTGGTACCGTTCTTTATGATTGTGTAGCGCCAGTCCACGAGACCCATTTTTAACCATTGATCTTAAAAAACGCATGTATACAGTACACTGGTTAGATATGTCTGAACTGTTTGACGCCATGCATGACATACACATGTAAGTCTCATAAGAACGTAACTCCTGTTTTCGGTTTAGTTTGGTTACGACTTATCACTAGAAGAGAAAATAATAATAAAATCATGCAGTTAACTTTCAACGCTACCAAAAAGATAAAAGAAAAAACAGAAAAAAAATGGAGACTTCCATCAGTATTAAACAGAACAATAACATTTAGTGGATTTTTGAATTTTAGTTTCCCGAAAAATTGTTTTAATAAAATAATTGTATAACTTTCAACTGACAGCAAAACCAGTGGTTAATGAATGTCAAATGTTTTCAGTATGGAACCGGTTTATTTTACCGTTACCATTACCACTGAAGGTAAGTAGTAAGTTCTTATAAATCCTTTTGTTTATTGTTCTTACCGAAATTTTCCGTTATGTTAATATGAAAATCATTCTTGAATTATTCTTTTCCATTTTATATATTTCCAGGGGACAGTCCTTACCCAGGCATCTCATCTGATCGCATATTGTCCTTACTAAAAACTGGATACAGAATGGACAAGCCAGATAACTGTCCTGATGAAATGTAAGTGTAAATTTTAACAACAGATTCAACTTTTTCTGATTTACGGCCACATCACGTTGAAACACCGGTTCCCGTACGATCACCGAAGTTAAGCAACGTCTAGCCTGCTCATTATCTAGATGGGGGACTTCTTCGAAATACTAGGTGTTGTACACTTGCGGGTCGTGTAATAGCTAACGGCTCGGAACTGTTAATCAGAGATCTGAGTTCCAATTCCACTGGGTTCGCTGTGTTCACTTACGCACAAATAGCCTTGAGAAAGGCATGAATCCACCTCTTTCCCCTCAGCTATGGGTTAATTAGTAAGACTTGTATCACTAAAACCATTATTATCTCCAAAAAAGGAAAATGCGCAAAAATATTTAGATTTGGCATTAAATAACGCATAGAGGTGTTGATATGCCACTAAACAAAAACAAGAATTCAAACGAATCAATTTTTTTTCAGACCAACATCTTTCTGGGGTCAAAGCGTAGTATCTGTTCTCATTTTTTCCTCATTGTACTCATTATTGAGACTGGGCAATTTTTGTCTTTAGTCCAGATGTACGCGTATGGGCTAGCCATACACACACAAAAAAAGATCTTGTGTCACATCTTACGACTGTCAGGTAAATAAAATCTTCATTTTAGTGCAAGGATTTAATCCTAATGCTTTTCACCGCTCCTCAGACCTTTGACGCATCCAGGGATCTTCGAAATATTTTATAGTAAGCTCTTTATTTTTTTTCTATCTTGAAAGGTGGGGAATATTAAGATTTTCTGTATCTTGTGTTTTCAAGGGTCATTTCTATCAATTTCTGAACACGATAATGTCAAGGTTTCTTCCTTATGACATTGCACTATTTTTTCAAAAGAGTCATAATACTCACGCTCTAGTGTATCCAGAGATTCAACACTCCACTTCTAGAAAATGTGACGTGGTTTTTACCAATTAAAACAATATACTATGTAGGTCCAGAAATGGCCAGCAATTTAATATTAAATTTAATTTAATATTTAATTTTATATTTACAAATTTAGAAGTAGTAGATCTTAGACGTAGTATACTTGGTACCTAACATGTTTATTCCAACATTTCTTCTACTTTTAAAAAGTCTGCAATCTTCCTGCAGGATAGTCATCATCTGCCTCGTTACGTACTCCTTAATCTCACCCTCGGTCAGAAATACATTTTCTTTTAATGGGTATTTTAGCTTTGAAAAAACCGTGTGTCAAATCTGGTCAGTAGGTTGACTGATATGTTTTTTATGGCCTTGAAGATTATTTAAAGCCAGAAAATATTTTTTATATTTATAAGAAAATATTGAGGCAATAATGATTTTCTGACACAAGTCACACTAATTAACCCATGGCTAGGTGTAGAAGAGGTGAATTTATATCTTTTCCCAAAGGTATTTGTGCTTAAGTAAATATAACGAACCTGACTAGAATTGAAACTCGGCTCTCTGATTTCCAATTCCAATCCATTACACCACCCGCACATCCAAGCTTACAGCACCTGGTATTCCTATGCTTTCACATATCTAAGTAATGACCAAGATTGACGTTGCTTAACTTCAGTGATTCTATGAGAACCGGTTTATAGTCGTAAGCCTCTGCAGATTAGGGGTGGGGGCTGCCCTATATGACTGATGCAATATTTTGCCAAAGACATCGGCATGAAACATAAAAAAAGATGTGGAATCCCCAGATGTTTTAATTTTCGCACTACCAATCTCTGATTTTCTTAGATTGCGACCAACACGCGTTTACAATTTTCGGTCTGTTGAAAGGCATCCAGTATGCAAATCGCTTGCAACAAATCTTGAAACGTGGGTCCGTAAGTTTTATCTGAGCTCCGTTCATTGAATTGTTACGGAAAGCCATTTTAATCATTCGAATAGATTTCGTACATGATGTCAAACAAAACTGACTGAATAACTCCATAGAAGACTATTGTTCATGTATGCGCAATAAGGTTTTCTCTTATTGTTAGCCATTTATATTAAGGCTGTACACTATGTTTTTGATATATGCTTCCATAGTTTCCGGATATACATTTTATATTAAACATTTTTAAATACTTTTTACGTACTTTTTTCTGCAAGCGATAAAATAAATCATAGCCCGTTTTTTGTCGAAAAACCACTGTTTTATTTTGTCGTTTCATCATACAGGAAAAACAAGAAATTTAGTTCAGTTTATTTAATTGTTAGAATTTTGTTACAGTTAGTTCAAACAAAAGCAAAGGATAGAAATTTAGTGGCTTAAAACGGAACAAAAACACAAATGTTAGATATGGTGTTCAAACTAAAAAAGTTATTTTTTATATGTTAGTTAATTTTTTTGTCGTACGACTTGTTGTATGATTGGTATTGCTCCTACCATATCTCTTACTGCCTCATTCCTGATCTTGTCTCTCCGGGTCTTCTTTGTCTGCTTTCCTCAGGCATTTCATCTCGCAGGCGATCAGTTTCCTCTGAAGGGTTTTTGTTTGAAGCCATGTCTAACACTGGTATGTCAACGTTGGTAGGAAAATGGCGTTGATGAGATTTGCCTTGGTACTCATGGAAATGCTTGGATGTTTTAGAAGAGGAACAATTTAGTAACTGACTGCGTTGGCTTTCTGACATCTGGTCTCGATTTCTCTGTCTAGTTTGGCGTTTTCGATAAATATGCTGCCCAGATACTTGAATTCAATGGTCTGTTCTTAGCTGGGTCCCATTGATGTGAATATTCATTTTGGTTTCTAGCTGACGGTCATGACTTCGGTCTTACTGTCACTGATCTTCATGTATTTCTCGTAGCTTGAGTTGGTCAGTGTGCTTCTGCAACTATCTTTGTTTATCATTGCCTGGTCGTCAGCCAACATGAATTCGTTGAATGCTTGAGGATCGAACGATAGAGGACCAAGTGGTTCGGACACCTCACTCATATGCCTATCAACCAACCAGCTCTACGGCCATATACCCTCAGGTAATCTGGTTGGGGAACGAGAAGCAGACCAAGAAGACGCTGGAACAACTCAGTCAATCTCAGAGCCCACGAGATATCTCTCCTTCAGGCCACTCACCTTGCCGCTGACAGACGACTGTGTCTTTCTGCGACGCCTAACAGCACAGGCGGAAGGAAAAACAAAAACTAGTCAATGCTTTTCATTATATAATAAAATAAAATTTTCTGTTTTTTTTTGTTTTTGTTTTTTTTTGTGGGACACCCTGTAGCTTTTGACTTCGTTGAATCTTTTTTTGTTTAGTCAGTTCTTTCTTTTGTTTTTCGCAGGTATGCCATCATGCAAAAATGTTGGAAGACAGAACCCGATGAAAGACCTTCTTTCCATGACCTAGCCAACATCTTTGATAAGATTCTACAAGAGAAGACGGTAAGATTTTGAAGAAAGTAATATGCATTTTATTAAAAGAAAATGTTTATATTTCTTTAAAAGAAAATCACTTACTTGCCGTTATCCGCAGCTGATTTCTTTCACTTTTCCTCATTCATTTTTTAATGCGCTTGTTCTGAAAAATTACTCAGGATTACATGATTAACTAAAAACACGCTCCCTTCTCTTATTATATCTCATTTATGACAATGGTAATCTTTTAAGTCCTCGGGATCTCATTGCATAGAGCGATATCGGCGAATATTTTGGCAGTATTTCCAGTTTACTTCCATTCTCTTCAGTAGCACCTATGAAGTGTTTTGAATCATAAAAACGGATTCATTGCCAGTCAGATGACTCTTGGCGGAGTATTCTTGCAAGGTAACCCATCAAATGTTCCTGAACAATCAATGATTTCACTATACTATCAAATAAATCCTTCGTTTAGGAAATAGGAATAGAATAAGAAAACCGGGAACAAGGAAGTGTCTCGTGATATATCTCATTAGACACCCAAAAACTACCAGTGCATTTGCAGTACTTATTACCATCATCAAATTGCCTCGAACCACTTTCCGATTTGCTGTAAAAGTAAGAAGATCCAAGACAAAGCCATATCTCTTTTTTTGCCTGAATTTCTGGGATGTGGTGTTATCATTATTTACACTATTTGTATTCGGACTATTATCCTCACAAGTTTTTTTACAGTAAGGGTTACCCTGTACAAGGCTCAGGGGGTAGGTAAGATAGAGAGCTACATTAAGAGGAAGATTATACGGATAGATTAACTCTAGACTTGAACAGGTTAGATTATAATGATCGTAAGAGACAGATGATATTTCTAGGGCATCTAATGAAGATAGACGTTTTGGAAAATTTGATACTCACAGGACAAAATGAAGGCAAGATGGACAGAGGAAAACAACGCATTAGCTTGTATAAAAAGATGGCCGAAGAGGCTTTAGGGAAGATAACAAAAAGATAAGTTTTATCAAGAGCTACGAAGGACAGGAAGTGGTGGAGAGCCATTATCACCAACGTTTAGAAAGGACGCGGCAAATAGAAGAAGTTAACCGGTTTAATCATGCATAAACAACTGACATAACAACATTGTTTTGAATAAACGAGGAGGCAAAAAATAGCAACATAAGATTTTTCCGTGCGAATCCTAATGTTTATAAATTCATATTGAATTAAACATTTGGTAGCAATCTCAAGCATAGAGTTTTTGAATTTCTGCTTGGTAATATTAAAGACACTTGAATCTCTCTTTGAGGATGAAGAACGGATATGAGTCTAGGAATGAAATCAGAAATCCTAGCATAAACTTAGAAATGATGGCCTGTTTACGTGCATCTCTATTTGCCGTCAAGAGGAATGACCCAGTAACTGCAGGAATTTAATTTTTTCTAAACTTTTTTTTATATATATATATATATATATATATATATATATATATAATAAAATGGACAAAGTCCGACAATTATTTTAAGACATTTTTTTATGTTTATACGTTCTTTTTTATAGATAAACATAAAAATGTTTTTAAAATAATTGTCGGACTTTGTCCATTTCATAATGTGTGATGTCATTTGTTTACATTTGGATAGGCATCGAGCCGATACGAATGTATGAGAGAAAATCATGGAGAATTGTAGTTTAAAAACAGTAAAATCGACCTTGCTAACCGAAACGCTCCTCTGTGGCTAAATCGGTAAATGCACATCAGGCTATATGACGGTTTCGTATAGGATAAAGGTTCGATTTCTGTCATAGCACGCATATTTTC